CCTGAAGCATATGAGCCCCAGCCCAGATTTCACCAAGTATGGGGGCAACAGAACAACGAACACGTTAGTTATGACGAGATCAGCTGGGCACGAAGTGTTTCTTTTGGTCTGCAGCATCCTGGGCGCATTCCTTAACCAACGCCCCCCCCCCCCCCGTATGGGGGGGGGGAGGGGAAAGCTCGTCGGAAGGCGGCTGCTTCTTCGAGCGCTCGGGTGCTTCCAAGTGCAAGGCCCGCGCCTTCTAAAGAGCAGCCCCCAGCCAGGGCGCACCAGGGCCGCCCGCGGGCGCGGCGGCGCCTCCCGCGGCGGTCTCGGCCTGCACTGCCGCCAGCGCCTGCTGGGCGGCCGCCTCCTCGGCCTCCGCCTGCACAGCCTGTGCCTCCATCGTTGCGGCAGCCTGCACGGCCCGCTCGGCCACGTCCTGCGCATCCAGGGCGGCCTGCCGCGCCTTCTGGGCCGCCGTTGCCCTGTTGCGCAGGGCGTCCACCGCGGACTGCAGCCTGCGCTCGAGCGGGCGGGCGGCCCGCTCCGCCTCCACCACCGCCGCCGCCTCCGCCTCCAGCTGCGCCACGGTGGCGGCGCACTCCGGGAAGGGCTTGAACGCGGTGATGCGGGCCCGGAGGCCTGCGAGGCGCTCCGCAGCCGTCGGCGCCGCTGTCGGAGCGGGATCGCGAGGGGCATCGGCCGGCTGCGGCCCGGCCGGCGGCGCCGCCTGTGCCGCGCCCGGCTGCGGCCCCGCGGCTCCCGCCACCTGAGCCCACTTTGATGAACGCGAAGAGTATAGAAAGCGATATCGTCCTATAGATTTCTATAGGATCGTATCAACATGAGAACATTATATACACATACATATATATACATATATATATATATATATATATATAAACGGGAGGGTAGCAAAAAGGGGGCGACCCCAGGCAAACGCCAGAGGAACCCATGACAACCCCAGACAACACCAGACCACACAAAAACAACAAAAAACAACAACGAACAACAACAGGCAACAAACAACAACACAACAACAACAAACAACAACAACATACACCATGTTGTGTTTTGTTGTTTTTGTGTTGTCTGGTGTTGTCTGGGCGCGGGCGCGCCCAGACAACACAAGACAACAAGCAACAACAAAAAGCAACAAACAACAACACAAAACAACACCAGACAACACCCAGACAACACCCAGACCACATCCAGATAACACCCAATGGGGTAGACACGGAGGAAGCGCGCGGAGAGACACGGGGGGGGCGCGGGAGGGACGCGGGAGGAGTGGGGGCACGGGAGGGGCGGGAGGGACACGGGAAAGACACGGGAGGGACACGGGACGGGCACGGGAGGGACACGGGAGGACTGACATAAGGGACACGGCACGGCAGGGACACGGGAGGGACACGGGAGGGACACGGGAGGGACACGGGAGGGACACGAGAGGAGTGGCATAAGGGACACGGCACGGACACGGCACGGACACGGCACGGACACGGGAGGGACATGGGAGGGACACGGGAGAGACACGGGAGGGACACGGGGGGGACACGGGAGGGACACGGGAGGGACACGGGAGGGACACGCGGGAGGGACACGAGAGGAGTGGCATAAGGGACACGGCACGGACACGGCACGGACACGGCACGGACACGGGAGGGACACGGGAGGGACACGGGAGGGACACGGGAGAGACATGGGAGGGACACGGGAGGGACACGGGAGGGACACGGTAATTAGGAACGCAGCGCTTTCTCAAGCGAGGATGTCGAGCGCACGGCTCGACGGAAGAGATCGTCGGGCGCACGGCTCGACGGAAGAGATCGTCGAGCGAACCGCCGCTTCTCGCAAGCAGATGCTCTTATGTTGGCATCTGGCGCAGCGCTGCATTGCCCAGCAGGGGAGCGAAGAAGGATCGACGGTGAGATGGCGATGGTGAGATTCGATGGTGAGATTCTCGATGATGCGAGGGAGGTTGCAGAGTGCAGACTGGAAAAATAGTGAGAAATAGTGAACACATAAAAAAATAGTGAAACATAGTGAAAATAGTGAAAAATAGAGAAAAATAATGAAAACATAGTGAAAATAGTGAAACATGTTGAAAAATAGTGAAAAGTATTTTTAAACATAGTGAAAACATATAAAAAAATGAAACATATTGAACAACGAAAAATATACAGTTTTAGGCTTCGCAACTTTCGGTGATGATAGGGCCCCATATCCCCTATAGGAAAAATTCGTTTCCCTAATCGTCACTAATACGAATGGCCACCCTATAGAACCCTATAGAACCCTAACCTATCCTAAATAGCATCCTAACCCATCCTAAATCCTCCTATAGGGTTCTAACATAGCATCACTATAACCATTCATATATACTTACTTCTTCGCGTTCATCAAAGCAGGTCCGCGCCGCCGGGGGAGGGCGCTCCGCTCCGGGGGACGGCGTGTTCCCAACGGCAGCGCGCGGGCCGCGGCGGCCACTCGCACGGCAGGCAGTCCGACAGGCCCAATTGTCGGACACCCCGCACGAGCAGCCACGGCTGCCGCGGGCCCTCCGGGGCCTCGAGGCGTCCACCACGCCCACCGGCCTTGCGCTCCTGCCCCTGCTTCTGCTGCCCCCCGCCGTCTCCCAGCCCAGGCAGCCGGGCCGCCCGGCATGCGGCCAGCAGTGCCTTCCCCAGCTGCGGCGGCACGGCGGGGCCACCGCCGGCCGGCGCCTTGCCGCGGCGGCCGCCCGGCATGCGGCCACGCGCGCGGATTACCCTACGCGCGAGTTTTTCGAGCCGCGTCCGGCCGCGGACACGATCGGAGGGGGCCACGCGCCGGCGTCCACCCGGCTGACGTGCGGCTTGAGCCAAAATGGCTTGGGCCAAAATGGCTTGAGCCAAAATGGCTACGGGCGCCTGCGGTCGCAACCGCTACCGCAACAAGGCGACACATTTCAACCCGTCCGCGGGCGCAACTGCAACCGCAACCAAGCGACATGTTTGAACCCGCCCGCAGGCGCAACCGCAACCGCAACCGCAACCCAGGCGACACATTTCAATCCGCCCGCGGGCGCAACAGCAACCTCAACCGCAACCGCAACCACGCGACACACTTCAACTCCTGCGTGCGCAACCGCAACGGTAACCGGGCGACGCTTTCAACCCGCCCGCGGGCGAAATTGCAACAACAGCCAGGCGACGCACTTCAACCCGCCCGCGGGCGCAAGCATAACCGCAACCAGGCGGCTCCTTTCAAGCCGCCCGCGGGCGCAGCCGCAGCCAAGCGACATTTTTGTACCCGCCCGCGGGCGAAACCGCAACCGCAACCAGGCGACACATTTCAAACCGCTCGCAGGCCAAGCCACAACCGTAACCAAGCGGCACATTGCAAGCTGCCCGCGGGTGCAACCGCAACCGCAACCGCAACCAAACGACAAATATCAACCCGCCCGCGGGCGCAACTGCAACCGCAACCAGGCGACAAATTTCAGCCCGCCCGCTGGCGCAACCGCAACCGAAACCGCAACCGCAAACAGGCGATTGAGTCCAGCCCGCCCGCGGGCGCAACCGCAGCCGCAACCGGGCGACACGTTTGAAGCCGCCCTGCCCTGCACTCGTGTTCGCGCACCCCTTCTCTCATCGGCCTTGGGTCAGCAGGCGTTTCAGGGTCCGAGGCCTTGCCGCCGTGCCCCCCTCTGGCCTCCGATGGTCCGCCAGGGACCGGGCTCTGCGGTTGCATGACCCTGCTGTGCCTCCCTCTGGCCTCCGCTGGTCCGCCAGGGCTTGGGCGCTGCAGGCGTGGGCCTGCCTCTGCGATGAAGCATCGCGCAGGCGGCCTTGTTTTGTTGCGCTTTGCCGGGCCCCCTCTGGTCTCCGATGGTCCGCCAGAGTTTGGGTTCCGCAGGTATGGGGCACACTTGTATCCTTGCAAACTTATTCCATTGCTGGCCTCGACTTGGTCTCGATGAAGAGTCCCTCGGCGCTTTGTTGTTGGACGGCGTTTGTGTCCAGCAGGCAGGCTCCAAGGAGGGCTGTTGTACTGCGTGCCCATGTCCTCTCCTCCTCGCCTCCCTCCTTACAAAGAAGCTTGGGCAACTTTAGCAGGCAGCGCACTTCAGCGGAACTTTTGATTAGATGACTGGCACCACTGTGTGCATTAGACGTTCGGCCATCGCCGGGTGTTTGGTGGGCTTTACGCCCCCCGGGTCGCGTTTAAGAGGCCCCGCGTTGTTGTGCTTGCGTTTCCGAGGAGAGAAAAAAAAGGAGGATGGGCAGGACGGCCATGAAGAGAAAATAGAGGACGAGGGGGAGGAGGGGAGGCGGAGGAGGAGGAGGAGGAGGAGGAGGAGGAGGAGGAGGAGGAGGAGAAGGGAGGACGACGACGATGAGGAGGGGGATGCAGGGGTGGTCGTTTTTCGGGGTGTAGCAGGAGCAGGCGCGGTTTGAGGAGGAAACCCAATGGCAGGATATGGAGGGCTTGGAGGATGAGAAGGAGGAGGGGCCCGACGAGAAGGAGGAGGAGGAGGAGGACGTGCTGCCCGCAGTTCTCCGCTGGGACATTGCAGCGGGGAATCCCCAGTCCACGCTGCAGCCTCTGTCTGTGAATGTCCCTTGTCTTCCCGTCACCATCATCACCATCACCACCACTTTCGTCCCACCACCACCATCCTCACCACAATGTTCATCCGCAGCCGTCTTTGCTCAGACCATTCTGGCGGAAGGGTTTGCAGCGTCAGCTTGCCGCGGCCCCCACCTGGCCGCTTCCGAGTTACAGGGGCGAGCCGTGGGGAGTTGAGGCTGCCCAGCCCTGCCATGACAGTGTCCGTCCCGCCGATGTTGGAGCACGCGGTGGGCCCCCCTCCCGGGCTGACCTTCCCCGACGGGTGTGGCGGCAGTGGCGTACCCTGGGCCTGGCAGCAGCCGTTGGAAGCCAAGCTCAGCGCTGGCCTCGGCAAGCGCAACGTGACCGACTGCAGCCAGGCGGTCGGATTCAGCCGCAGCGGGTCCAAGGCTTGCGCCTCCATGGATCGGCACTACAAATGGATCAACCGGCAGATCACTAATGCGGCTGAGTCTGGCGATGTCACATGGCTCTTCGACGTTATATTGGAGCACGTGAGCGAGATGAATTTGATCAATTGTTCCACCGCCCTGCACCGCATCGCCAAGCTTGCGCTCGGGAGCAGCGTGCAGGAGCGCGGGCGGCTGGTGGAGCACGAGGCCATTCGGCGCTTGCGCAGGCAGCTGGCGGGGCGCGTCAGCGAGATGGCGGGCGACGACCACTGTAGGGATGGACGCGGCGGCGAGTTGCAGTCCGAGATGCGATGCTTGAGCATCATCTGTTGGTCCTGCGCCACGATGCGAATTCGAGAGGAAAGTTTCTTCCAGCACGTGGCGGCCATCTCTGGCGAGAGGCTCTCCGAGATGAAGCCGTTCGAGCTGTCCAATATGCTCTGGGCGTTTGCCAAGCTCTCATTCGGCCACGCAAGCATCTTTGAGGGATTGGCCCCCTACTTGTTGTGCCGCCGACCGGGGCAGATCAGCCCGCAGTGCTTGTCGACGATCGTTTGGGCCTTCGGCACGGCGAAAGTGCACCATGTTGCCCTCTTCACCAGCGTTGCACTCGAGCTGTCGCAGCACGCTTCGAGCATGGGCCCGCAGGGCATCGCGAACACCGCCTGGGCGTTCGCGCGTGTGCGGCGCCAGGAGCTGCACCTCTTCCGCCTGCTTGCGGAGGCGACTGTTCAGGAGTCCGCGTTGTGGAACTTCAAGTCCCAAGAGTTGTCGAACATCGTGTGGGCGTTTGCAACGGTTGGCCTGACGCACCCGCCCCTGTTCGAGAGCATCCTGGAGGTCGCCGTGCAGCGCCGAGCGGAGCTCCCGCCGCAGAACATCGCCAACATGCTGTGGGCATACGCGAAGCTCGGGGTGCCCTCCCGCTGGCGCCTGTTCCCGCCGCTGCTCGAGGTCACGGAGCAGAACCTCGAGGCGTACAAGCCCCAGGAGGTGTCGGCCATATTGTGGGCCGTGGCCCGCGAGGTGGGTTGCAGCCCCTCGTGCCGGCGGTTCTTCCTTGCGGTGCCCCGCCACTTCGAGGGCCGCCTGCAGGAGTTCACCTCGCAGGGTCTGGCGTGCATGGTGGAGGCCTACACGCTCGCGGAGGTGGATGGCCTCAGCTTCTTCGACGGCATCCTGAGGGAGAGCATGAATCAGCTGGACAGCTTCCAGCCGCCATCACTCTGCACCCTCTTTCGCGGGGTCGCTATCAAGGCCAGACGCGAGCTCGCCGGAAAGGATTCCGCGCAAACACCGGACCATGTCAGGACCATATCTGACCACATCGCCGCCAGGCTGCCCGAGATGCAGCGGCACAACATTGTGCACCTGGCCCAGAGCCTGGACCTTCTCCCCGCGCACGCGCAAGTGACAAGCGCCGCGAAGCTCTGGGAGAGCAGCACCCTCCTGGCCGTCCAGCACCTTCAGGGTGAACTCTGCGAGCCCATGGGCCCGACGTTGCTTCCCGACCCGCAGCACGGCTCAGGCCCAGAAAGCAACGACGTCCCCTCGCCCCCCAAGGGCCGCCATACCAGCGGGCTGGGGCTCGGCGGGCAACGGCAGCTCCAGCGTCGGGGACTTCAGCCAGGCCCGCAGTCGCTGCAGCCGCAGCCGCCCCCGTGCGCGGAGGTGCCGTGGCCAGTGCCCCTAAACGGAAAGAGGCCGACCAGGGACGCCCTCGACGTATCCGCCGCGCTGGCCGCACACCGGGGCCGCCGTGACGCCGACGAGGTGCCAGCGGACCTGCTGCCTCGCAGCTGCCCGGCGCCCAACAAGCACGGGATCATCGGGCCAGCGCAGGCGCTGCAGGCGAGCCAGGGCAGGGCGGCGACCGTCTGGGACCTCCACAGCTTCTGGAGCCTCGGAAGTCCAGCAGACGAGCTCGCCTCCCCCTACTATTCTGAGCACGCGGACCAATAGACCGTCAATCAATGCACGAATCCCAGCTCGCAGTGAGACGTGCTTTTTTATGGGTTATACGAAGAGGGTTGGTTTTGAACGCATCGTTACTCGTATTTCGCCAGTGCTGCTCGTGGGGAAGGGGGGATCAGCTTTTCAGCTGGTAGATGGATGAGGGAAGACGGTTCTGCTGCCACTAGATTCGTTCGCGTATGAGCGCTTAGTGTGACCAGCAAGTCGTACATCAAATCTAGACAATCAGCGAACAATCTCTCTCTCTCTCTCACGCACGCTTCCAGGGGCCAGCCTGGCGACTGTTTGCCCTTTTTCAGCTACCGTTTGGCAAAGTTGCGATGCCACGCCGTCACGGACCGTCGTCTGCCTTGGCGTGGCATTGCGAGCAGCGTTCGGCACATGTTTTGGCGTTCGGGTGAAGTTGAATATGTGTTGCTGCCCATGCGCCAGCACACGATGAGCCGTTCTGTTGGTGAACAAGAATCGAAACGACTGTGAATGAATCGTTCGTGCAATTATTATAGTGCTGCTCGTGGGGAAAATAAGGATTAGCGTTCAGCTGGCAGATGGACGGGGGAAACAAACCTGCTGTTGCAACTAGGTTGGCTCGCACATGAGCACTTAGTGATTGGCAAGCGTGCTCTCTCACGCAGGCTTCAATCCTCTGTCACTATGCGCTGAGACGGCAGCCAAGGAGCATCATGCATTGTGACATCGACCCACCGTCATCAAACACATTATCTGTCCCTGTTCACAGACGATCGCCAGCACGAGTGCTTGTACGCTGTGGTTCGGCGGTGCCTATACGTGTCGATTCGTCTGACTCGTTTGGCGGCCCTTTGGGAGGTTACGATGCCATGCTGTTATGGATAGTCCTCTGCATTGGCGAGCCATTGCAAGCAACTTTGAGCATTTGCTTTGGCGTTGGCTTGAATACGGTGGGGGCGTTCGTTAAGGAACGTGCCCAGGAGGCTTCAGACCCTGGAGGGTTCCTTATCTGATGAGGGCGGCGGTGATACCCATGGCCAATCCACGATTGGCTTTCCACTGGTTTCCAGACCCTGGATTCCTTATCTAAGGGTCCCTTGTTCAATGCCCCCACCGTATGTTCTCTCGCTGCCCGTGCGCCAGCTCGCTGTGAACCGCGTTCCTTTTTTTGCGAAACGGATTGAATTTGAACGAATCGTGTGTAGCATTCAGGTGCTGATGACTTTGGGGAGGGAGGATCAGCGACTCAGCAGGTACATGAAATATCAGTTAGCCTGGCGAAGGACCCGACCAGATGCGGTTGTGAATACCGCAGTTGTAGGTGTCGTCTTCGGTAGAGCCCCCTTATAGGGCTGCGAAGCGCTGTGCTGGGCGGGGGAGACGCATGCGGGCCTCGACACTGGGACCTTTCGATGGAGCTCCCTCTGGGGCCACAAAACGCTATATTGGGTGTGGGAGACGCATGCGGACTGCGCCACTGGAACCTTCGGTCGAGCTCCCTATGGGGCCACGAAGCGTTGTACCGGGGGGGGGGGGGGAAATTCATGGCGGGCTGCGCCCCTGGGACCTTCGGTGGAGCTCCTTTTGAGTCCACGAAGCGCTGCACTGGGTGGGGAAGGCGCATGCGGGCTGCACCCCTGGGACCATTGGTGGAGCTCCTTCTGAGGCCACGAAGCGCTGTACTGGGGGGTGTGGGAGGCGCATGCTGGCTGCGACACTGGGACCTTTCGGTGGAGCTCCCTATGGGGCCACGCAGTGCTGTACTGGGTGGGGGAGACGCATGCGAACTGCGCCACTGGGACCTTCGGTGGAGCTCCCCCTGGGGCCACGAGACATTGCACTAGTGGGGGAGACGCATGCGAACTGCGCCACGGAGACCTTCAGTGGAGCCCCCTCTGGGACCACGAAACGTTGTACTGAGTTGGGGGGGCGCAGGCGAACTGCGCCACTGGAACCTTCGGTGGAGCTCCCTATTGGGCTACGAAACACTGTACTCGGTGGGGGAGGCGCATACGAACTGCGCCGCTGCGCTGTACTGGCTGGGCGGGGCAGGGGTGACGCATACGAACTGCGCCACTTGGACCTTCGGTGGAGCTCCCTATGGGGCCACGAAACGCTGTGCCCGGTGGGGGAGACGCATGCGAACTGCTCCATTGAGACCTTCGGTGGAGATCCCTCTGGGGCCACGAAACCTTCTACTGGGCGGGGGAGACGCATGCGAACAGCCCAACTGGAACCTTCGGTGGAGCTCCCTATGGGGCCACGAAGCGCTGTACTGGGCGGGGGAGACGCATGCGAACTGTTCCACTGGGACCTTCGGTGGGGCTCCCTCTGGGGCCACGAAACGTTGTACTGGGCGGGGGAGACGCGTGCGAACTGCGGAGCAGGGAGTAGGGGGAGGAGGAGGAAAGGAGAGGGGAGGAGAGGAGGAGGAACGCGGGGCGCTGTCTCTTCAAAACGAGGACCCCACATCACAGGATGGTAGGAATAGAAGATCCTGGTGTCACTGGATTCGCTCGCATATGAGCGCTTAGTGTTTGCCAAGCGTGCTCTTCCTCACGCGGGCTTACATCCCGTGTATGCACTTCGAGGGCGGTTAGGGAGCAGCATGCATTGCGCTGTAGAGCCGCCATTATCACATACCTTCTCCTACCATGCTCGCAGAGACGAGCGACGCCACGCGCGCCCGTGTTGCGGCTGCGCTGTGACTCGCTGGGGCCAACAAGGAGACTGTTTTCGCCCCTTCGGCCAGTTAGGTTGCGATGCCATGCTGTCACGGACTGTCGTCTGCATTGGCGTGGCATTGCGAGCAGCGTGTGGCATGTACATTGGCATACGGATGAAGTTGAATATGTTGTTGCTGCCCATGCGCCAGCACACTATGAGCCGTTGTGTTGGTCAATAAGAATACTAGATGGGCTCGCACATGGGCGCTCAGTGATTTGCCAAGCGTGCTCGCTCACGCATGCTTTAATCCTCTGTCACTGTGCACTGAGACGGCAGCCAGGGAGCATCATGCATTGCGAAATTGACCCGCCATCATCAAACACCTTATCTGTCCCTGCTCGCAGAGACAGTCGATCGCCGGCACGAGTGCCTGTACGCTGCGATTCGGCGTGGCCTATACGTGTCGAGTGGTCTGACTCGTTTGGCGGCCCTTTGGGAGGTTACGATGCCATGCTGTTATGGACAGTCCTCTGCATTGGAGAGGCATTGCAAGCAACTTTGAGCATATGCTTCGGCGTTGGCTTGAATATATTCTCTCGCTGCGCGTGCGCCAGCTCGCTGTGAGCCGCGTGTTTTTTCGAAGCGAACTGAATTTTGAACGAATCGCTTGTAACATTCTGGTAGTGCTGCTCTTGGAGGAAGGGGAGACCAGTGCAGTTGGAAGATGGAAGATGGAAGAGGGCTGAAGATCCTGCTGCCACTTGCTTCGTTCGCTGATGAGCACCTAGAGACAAGAGCTGTTGTCAAGGTAAAGGTTAAACCTTGACAGGTAGCGTGAGCTCTCTCTCTCTCTCTCTCGTTCTCTGTCTTTTTCATTTCCATGCCCTTGTACATGTGCATTATGAGGGCAGAAGGGAAGCAGCATGCCTTGCGACATAGAGTCGCCGTCATCAAATACATCACCTTGCCCTCCTTACAGAATGGATTGCCGGCACGAGCGCCCATTTTGGTGGTGCGCGGTTACTCGGCGGGGCCAACTTGTTGATTTTTCTTACTCAATCTGCGGTGGTTTGGGGAGGTTGTGATGCCGTGATGTCACGGACCATCGTCGGCACCGCCTTCATCAACGCCGTTGTCATTTGCACCACTTGCGTCGTTATCATCATCATCATCATCATCATCATCATCAGCAGCAGCAGCAGCAGCATCATCATCATCTCCGCCGTGATCGTTGTCGTCCTCGTCGTCATCTCGTCTGCCACAACGATCCTCATCGTCGGCGTCGTCGCCTCGCTCTTTCTGGTCACGAGTCTCATTCGCCCGCTTGAGGCATAGATCTGCATGATACTGGGCCTCGCACGCTGCGCCAGTTTATTTGTGCCAAGAAGTTGCGGCTGGTTAGCGCATCCCATGGATTCTTTTGTCTCAATATGCTCTGACTTGGCCACCTTGTTAACGTCGAATTTGGCAGGCGTAAATTGTTCCATTAGTGTGCACGGTCGCTGCTGCAGAACATCACAAGAGGATCATCCCGTGCCGACTGGCAGTGAGCCCACGACGTCGTTGTCAAACAGCAAGGGGCGGTGCACACGCATTCATCGAACATGTGCATTGTGTAGCATTTCCAGCCCGATCATTTTAAGCAGGCCAGGCTCGCTCGCCCCCACGAACGCATGCCGAAATAAGTTTCACAACGGTAGTATTGTTAGAAACATTGGAGCGTAGTGATTTCCAGCGCATATAATTTGGTATGAAGGCAGCGCGTGCGAATTGGGAAACAAGTTTCTGCGAGCGCTCGCATGCTGAACACACAAATGAACCACGTGTATTGTTTGCCACTCCTGCCAGGCAGGGCCATGCGGACCACGCACGCGCGCATGTCGAAGTCGTTCAAACACCATCGCGCGCCCGCCGAACCTGTCGAACAAATCAATGCAGGTCACAGGCGCGCGCCCACGAGAGCGCATGCCGAAACCATCCAAGAGGACGTGCTCGCGATTTCAAGCTGGAGTTGCTCAAAAACACTTGGAACAGTTTGTTGGTACGCCGATGTCTGAGTCACTTTGATCGCACTTGGCAAAATCAGAAGCACCATTTTCTCTGTTTGCCCCCCACCATCCCGTCGCCATCCTGTGTTCAAGCCAGTTGGGTTGAAGCGTTTGCAGCATCAGCTTGTCGCGGCCCCCGCGCCTGCCCGCTTCCAAGTTGCAGGGGCGAACCGCGGAGGGTCGAGGCTGCGCAGAGTAACCATGACCGTGACAGTCCCGCAGATGTTGGAGCCAGAGTTCTGTCCCCCTCCTGGGCTGTGCCTGTCCGACGGGTGCGGCGGCAGCGGCGCGCCCTGGGCTAGG